TCAAGTGTAGTGTATTTGAGGAGGGAGTTAAGTTTTATCGGGGTGCCCTATATTTCGAATCTTGAAAAAACCCAAAACAAATATATATAATAAATATACACACTAAATATATGTATGTAAAATGTGAATTAGGTTGAATATGTTGCTTTGATGTGGCAAGCTTTAAATCATGACAAAGCTAGTGTTGAATACGAGCCGGATCCGATTTTAAGTGCTCATTAAAGGTGTAACCCTACGGATACTTCGGGTGATTTGAGAGACATGTCTACCATGTTCCTTGTTGAAACCTTGAGTGATGGATGCCATATCGTAACAACATTTATAAAAGTAGAAATTTAAACTTTTATCATATTCTAAATATGACTCGGATTCATTTTTCATTGAAAGACAAAAGGCATTATAGCTCGTTTGATTTACATTCCAATAATTGTTGAAAAGTAAAAGAAATGCTATAACTATTGAACTTATATTATAGTTCTTGTACATAGCAAATTCCAATTCTACTCTCTCCATAACCTCGGACCGGGATATAAGGCGGCAGTAGCTATGAGGTTTTTGAGTTTTGTATATAAAGTATAAGCTCTTCTTTCACGGTATCCTTGTTGCTTGTAAATCTCATCTTTTTTGGTAGCTTTGACACAAAACCTAATGGTAGATAGTCTCCCTCTTCAAACCGAGTTCATTCTAACCCAACCCTAAAATCCTCAATAGTATACTCCACTCTTTTTATCATGATTTGTTTTGGTGATAACCTACAAAAACAAAGGTTAAAACGAGCAATAACACAAAAATATTTTACATCTTAATGGATTAACCCTAATGGATAGGATCTAACTTTTTTAAATACGATTTAGGCAAATCTTGTCTAATCTCGAAGGCTTTTCAAGTCCTTGGACTATCTAGATTAGTAGTGAGATAATCCATCATTTAACCTTATGCATCAAGAGATATGTGAAGGTCATTATATAATTTTCTATGCATAGGATGAGTTTCAATCCAAGCGAGAGTCCACATGAGCATCAATAGACTTTCGTCATACTTGCCATCCAAATCCCTTTGTCTAAATCCTAAAAGGTCTTAGCTCGAGTCTAGATCTTCGCAGGGCTTTTCTTGTGGTATGTGTTTAACAATTCAAAATAGATATATCCAATCTAGTTCACAATAAATACATAAATTTAAATAAATAAATAATAAATTACATAAAATAAATAACTTAAAATTAAATAAATAATAAATAAAGAACTTGAAAAATAAGTAACTTGGATACAAATAGCAAACATAAATAAAAGAGATAAATTTAAAGAAGACTAAACCTATGGTCTAACTTTAAATCTTCGAGTGGAGTCAAATAATTCATGGGAAACCATCAAAAGCACCTTTTTTCGAAAAAATTTACTATATTTGGTTTAATCCTAAAAATATCTTATAAGAATTAGTTTTGCCAAATTATTTTCTAAGTAAATTTTCAAGTTTGTTTATTTTTTAAGTCAAATTATTTTTTATTATGAAATAGTATTAAATTGATGTCAAGCTCTAAAATTGAGAGTCTCATCAATGTAGCATCATATCCAATTAAGTCCTAATATGATCGACATGTTGAAGAACAACCTAATTAACTAATGTTATTTAAAGTTTGACTTGTATTTATCTTTGCTAATTTCTTTTTTGTTTCTCTTTCTTCTTTTTTCTTTTGTTTTTTTGACCGAGGTGTTGAGACTAACGTCCATCCCTATTAAATAGGAGACTCGATAGGTCGACTTAATTTTCCTAATTAACCTAAGATAAAAGAATATTTTATAATTATAACCAAGATCTTATATGAAATCATCGTCGATCCCTAGAATCTAAGAAACTTGATAATCTATATCCTACACAATTAGCATGGCAATAATTTAAATAAAATGCCAAAATGCATAATAAAATTATAAAATTTTAAAAGTAACTCAAATATAGGTAAAAGATTCTCATACAAAAAATTAGAATGTAAAACCATTCGAGAACATATCAACCATGTCAAATACCACAACAGATCAATTTTAGTTTGATAGATTACTACTACCTTAGTTGACAAGATGGTTTAAATGGATAACCATCCTATACCCAAAAAATATGAAATTTCACATAGATATTAGGGACAAATATATGATATTCATATTAAAAAATCAAGATATAAAACTATATAGGGCTACCGAAAACATACAAAATATTACATAAACTATTTCTAACTTGAGAAATCACACTGCTCGCAAAAAACAAAATGACTTAAAAGGATGGCCATCCTATGTCAAAAAAACTGAAATTTCACGGATAGATAGGACACATATAGATGGTGTTCATATAAAAAAATTAGGAAGTAAAACTGTTTATGGATATACCAAACACGTAATGCACAACAATAACCAATTGGAGCTTGAAAAAGCAATATTAAAATAGCCAATAAAGTAACTTAAATGGATAATTATCCTATACCATAAAGATCTAAAATTTCATACATAGATAGAAAACTAGTATATGGTATTATCATAAAAAAAAATTAGAAAGTAAAAAATATTTATTAATATATCAAACATATAAAATATGAAAGTGGCTATTTTTAGTTTAAAAAATCAATACCGTAGTAGTAAAAGATGATTTAAATGGACCACTATTTTATATCATAAAGATCTGAAATTTCACACATAAGTTGGAGACACATATATGGTGGTCGTGAAAAAATTTTTAAAAATAAAAGCATCTAGAGCTATACCTATAATGTAAACACACAACCAACAATCATATTTATTGGGGTTTAGATTGACTAGAAGATCCATTAGAATCAATAAGTATCCAAATGCATTTTTGTCTATTAAAATTGATAAAGGATGAAGTAAAAAAGTAAGATGTTAACTATTAAAATTCAAAAATGGTTAAAAAGCTTGGAGTTGATAGATTAGGTTGTTTGCAAACTTATCAGGATACTTGGATGTTGTTTTTTCTCTTCCTTTTCACCTATTCTTACTTTCTTCCTATCCAAACTCTTTCTTTTTTGTTTTGAATTTCTCTCTCTCTCTCTCTCTCTCTCTCTCAAAAAAACCTCGTCACCCTTCAAAATGCTATGCCCTTTACTCTTTCATTTCTCTTGGTTTTTATCTTACCTTAACTTCATTCTCCACCCATAGATCTTCCTGTCTTAATCTCATCTCTTCCCTTTTGATGAGTATAGGACACTGCCATAAATTTGATGGACAAAAGAAACTATTATGCCCTACACATCCACATGTACAGCAAATTTGTGGTAATCCTTCTTTTGCACAGTATATTCAATATGAATGTGTGCTTGAAGGGGCTTGAGCAAATCAACATCCTATCCGCGCAAATTTACCTTTGTGGGATGTTTTCGTATTCAGATCAATATGGATAATTTTACCGATCATGTCTCCCATGGTTCGGAGGATTCGAGGGTGATACCAATTAATTGGGAGATTCGAGAAGTGGACCCAAATGACTGTCCTAGTAATCCACCTTTCGGATGCTCAAAAGTCTGGTGACCAAGGCTGCAATGTTATGCGATGCCCAAATTGCCCAAGGACCATCAGTCAGTGCATGAAAATAGCGTTCTATGTTTGCGAAATGAATGATGAAGAAATCATTGTCTAGATCAATAACTCTAAAATGTTTAGTTGCACCAGATTGTGTTCAAACGAGGACATAATGTTTTGTAGCCCACCATTCTTTTAAGAACTTTAACTCCAATAGAGAGTTTCCAAGGTTTTTTCAATCTGGTTTTGAAAGTTTTTGGCAGTTCAATTGCTATTCTTGTAGTTTTTGTTGCTACTGTTATGTCTCCGTCTTCAACTTCAATGTCCTCCATTTTTATCCTTTCATACGTCGTATCTTCAGCATCCGTACCTTGAACAGCAGCTCCTTTGTAACTTTTTGAGTTATCCGGCATGAGGGTATATATCCACAACGTCCTCTTTATATTGTAGTTGTTCCTTTTTTACCATTCGGTCATCATCTCCGATCTGAAGGAGGGTTCATCTTCACCAGTGGGGCGAGAGGATGAAGAGCGTTTATTTTCCATGGGCTTTTTGGATGATTTTCATCGGGGAATTAAATCCTTTTGTTCTCCAAATTTGGTTTCCCTCCGACTAAAAAGTCCTCCAAAAGAAAAAAAAAATAAATACCCATAGGAATATTTTGTTCGTAATTTGATTTTTTTTTCCAAAAATTGGTGTCCCTCCCAACGTTAAATTTCCATAGGGAGAATAAAATTTTTAGATCTCCACGTCCAATTAAAAATTGAAAAATAAAAACCAAAATTTAACCTATGCACACCTTTTGTACTGAAATTTCGTGCCTTCAGCTATGAATCTGCTTTCGTTTTGTATGGGTTATTAGATGATTTTTCAATCTATGCGAACTATGGCCATTCTTGGCGCCAGTTATCAGCCCCACCAACCTAACCCTAACCAATCATGGCTTGAGTAGAGATAAACTAGATTTTGAAAAAATTTCGAGTTGATTGTTTTGCAGCCAGCTTCTCAGGATGATCAATGACTTTACCAATGAAAAGCTAGCTAACACTTGATTAGTGAGATGCATGCAATTAATATGGCAAGTGACTCATCTATAGGGAGAAGCATGCATGATTTATATACAGAATTTACAAAAATCAGTTAACGCAGCACTGACTACAGCTCAAGATATGGGATCTGTCACAATCATAAATGGAGCTCTTCTCCTCCCCGTTTCCCTCTACACCAATAGCAGGACATGAGCCTGAACCAAAATTGGTTACCAACACCGATACCACATGATCTAGCTGCTCGCGGCCCTGCAACCCTTTTTTTTTTTTTTGGCTTTGCAAGAAGTTGCTGAAAAGAGAGAACAGGATGCCAGGGCCAAAGTGCAAGAAAAAGGAAGGATCAGCGAAGAATAACCAAGAATTCAACTGCTACGTCAGTGAATTCAACAAAAACCAGACGCTAAATCAAGGAAGAGATTAATATAAAGAGCTCTCATTGTCCTCCTTTGAGATTAGGAGATTTCATCTTCTCCAACAGCCTGACCTTGTCAAGCAACTCCTGAATAGTATTTGATGCATCCTGCAGGGTTACAACTTATGAGTTTTCCAACTATAAGGGAAAAATTCAAAAAGCAAGAACAACAAAATCCCCCCAGCAGTAACAAGGGGGAGAGGTGATGCAAAAAACCTTTAGCTTCTTTCTCAGATTCTCCTCCTCCAGGTCTCGCCGGTCCCTCTCCTCTGAGAATATATCAATCAGACTTTCCTGTTCCTTGTTCAATTCTTCAAGCTTTTGCTGTGCATCATGCAACTGAAGAAGCGAAGAGATAAAGTTTCAGGAGAACTCAAATTCATCAAGCCAAAAGGAAAACAATAGCACCAAAAATATATCCCATCCAGCACAGTAACCAATGATAGAGATGTTATATACCTGTATCTCAAGTGATTTACACTTCTGACACTGAAAACCATTCAAGTACTCCCCTCGAGTCTCTCCTTCCAATTTCTCTAATCTGCAAACAAAGAAAGGAGTCAAATAAAATAAGATGAAGTATAGTTCTTAAAACCCAGAGTGAGAAAACAAACCTTTCTTTTAGTTCTTGATTCTCTTGTTTCAAATGAACAAGGGCATGCATACCAGATTCTGATAAGGCATGATCCCTCTTATCAACATCGCCCGCCTGTCAATTGAACAACCTTAATATGATTTCTATTTTCAATAGAACATGCACACAAGCAGAGAGGCACAAAAAAAAAGATGCCAAACCTACATTATCAATATTATCATTTACTAAAGATGAATGATAAGGAAATAAATCACTTGACAACAAGAAGCGCTTGACAGTTGACCAAGCCTTTCTGCAGACTATAATCACATATACAGAGGTGCCCTAAGATTTCAAGAGAAGAAAAATCTTTGATAGCTATCATTAACATTGTCTGCTTCTTTTTTAATGGTTCTGGAAGTATGACAAAGTAGATCACTTAATGACCCAAGAGTGTCCGATTAATCTCAGACAGGTAACTCATCAAAGAAGCTTTCTTTCTCTAAACTACCATCTGGGTTATTGTCAGAGATAAGATCCCACATTGCAATGAATGATAAAAAGAACAGCATTGGAAAATATCACCAGCTAAAGACACCATATCATAAATGAAGTATGCAAATTGGCATAAACTTCATAACATAAATAATGCAAGAGAAGCGACCTTTTGTTGGGATCTTGTGACTCTTTGAAAAGTTCCCCCTCCAGACATGCAATCATGCTGAGATCCAGAATCTTCCAAGTATGAAGACGACTGACTTGCATGCAACCCATTTTTCTCAGAAGTCTTGTTAGTAGGAGTGGTCTTTTGAGTGCTCCCATTTGCTTCTCTCATAGGAACAGCAACACAATCATCATCTCCACTGCTAGCATCCTGAGCAGGAGGTGATGGTCCAGAAGATACGGCGCTTTTTCCAGATTTAGTTTGGGTCTTGGTTCTATTATTCCCTTTATTGGAGGTATGTCGGTTGCCATACCCATGGTCTGAATATGAAGGGGATATCTTACTGCTCGAGGAAGTATACTTCTTTTTAGATGGAGAAGTTGTGGGTTGTTGATAGTCAGGAGAAGTTTCTACAAAGGAAAGACAACTTTCTGTGAGATCATTAGGGGTAATAAGAAAGCGTTCAAAACTAGTAAACAATTAGGACAAGGCAATGGTCTATACAAAAGACCATATACTTAGAGACTCAAAAAGCTCGCAAACTACACCTCTATCTGAAGACTCATTTATGAGTTTCTTATTTCGCCTTGGAGCATAACCAATTTTATAGCAGTATGTGCTCCTAACAAAGTAGTGCAAAGGTATTAGTCACATTTACGCCTCACATATCAAGAAGAGCAATTAATTACAATCAGTTAGACATGAACAACAAACCAGTAATGTTTTTGCATTTGTACTAATCGAGATTCAAGTCTTGCAAGAACTGTTGTTCGTTCAAATCCTTGCTTATCATGAGCTGGCTCAACAAAATTAGCTTCCAACACACCTGTTGGCATAGGGGAATCATCATGTTTACAAAATGTTTGCTAGTCATAGATAGTTGGGATGTGGAATACAAAATTTTACCTATTACTCCACGTCCATCACTTCCAGCGGCATTCCAAAGCCTCCAAAATGGCTATAAAACAGAAATGCTTTGATAAGGACAATTGAAATCAATTAACTGTTTGTCAGACTCAAAACACAGCAATTAAACGCATAGGGAATCAATTGTTTGTTGATAATTCATATGCATGCTATTAAGTATCTCTAAGAGGTATTAACATAGTAAATACCTCCCATCAGCATGCTTTAAAGGACATGATGATTTGAAAAGAGAGAGAGTATTTAAAATGCATTATCAACAAATTTATGAGTGTAACATTAAAATTTGGGTTGGTATATTTTGTAAGTTGCAAAAACTTAAAAAGGCCACATCCAATGATCTTTGCAATTCATTTTTTCCACAATTCTTCATTATCCAAGATGTTTCTGACCACTGTCCAACTTTTACATGAGTTTTCAAATCTAAATGCAATATAAGGTTGACACTTTTTTAATTCCTCTAGCTCTTGTCATGGTACATTAATCAATCTATGCATAGTTCAAATACACTTGTCTGTTCATGGTTAATTCACAAAATGAGAAATAGGGCAAGTTGGGAACTTTTTGCTGACCATATTTTTAAGCATATTCATCCATTCTGGAGAATACACAAGCACACAACAGTTTAAACAAAGAAAATGAGCCAAGCACCAAATATAAACGGACATAATAATAATAAACACGTATCATCATACATTCAGTATCACATGATCACTTTCTTTTTTTTTTTTTTTAAAGAAAAAAAGAAAGAAAGAAAGAAAATCAATGATACTTTATCTGAAAGCAAAACAAACCTTAATTAGTCGATTTTTGTGATAAACATTGAACCCTTGAACATCAATATGATGCTTTGCATCCTTTACAAAGCCAATAGTGACGACAGCAGTCATCTGTTGACAATAGATGCAAGCAATGAGCACCAGAATAAGCAAAGAAGAGAACTATCCAAACAAGTTCAGCTGCATTACATTTTTGTCTTTTGGGACACCATCTGCACCAGGCTGTGGCCGATATGTTATCTCCTGAGATAGCATCATATCATTCACTATATTGTGGTGCTCAACATCTTTCCCACGGAGAATGATTCGAAAGCTGGGAGGCAGTCTGAGATAGAGAATTGAGGCATAATTCTGGACGTTGACATAGAATTGGATAAGCATCAATCAATCAAATAGTAAAATAGAGATCTAGTATCTTTAAAGCAATAAAAAAATTAGCCTCTTTAATAAAACAGAACCAATTAGTCAAGCCATATTAATTCCACAAAGTTAAACAAGTCAAAAATTGAGTTATTCAGATTACTCAATGCATTGTAGATGTCAAATGAACACCCAATAGCTGCCAGGCTGATGGGACTTGACACAACAAAAAAGCAGAATTGATACAATTATATAACCAATATTAAAGAACCTAAGTTGAAAATAAAATCTTTTCAGAATCCAACCTCTTCAATTATTGTATAATCAAACATCCCAATTGTTCGTTACCCTCAAGACCCATTAAAGAATCTTTTCACTTTGTTTCTTATCATTCTTCATATTTCCTCTTCTTTTTTTCTAAAGAGTAAAATAAATGTAAAAAAACCTATGCCACATTAAACTTATGAACTAAAATATACTAAAATTTGATCAACCAGATAAAGCACAGATAATCAAAAAGAGATTAATACTTAAAGAAATCAAAATTCTGATTAGAGAACAAAAATTAATCGTTTGAATTATATAAAACAGTGTAGAGGGATTAGCTACCCTTAATGAATGCCGATAAGTAAGGAAGTGTCTGGAGTTGGGATACTCTTTTGCCATTTGTATATGCTTCTCATCTCGATTGACGCCTCTTAGTTGGATATCCTGTCAGATTATACACCAAATAAAAATACTCTCTCCAAATGATCATTTTCATAATCTTATCTGGAATGTGTTAGGCATCGAAGACATACATGAGGATCACTGTCAAAATCAAGTTCCAACAATCCCTGATCATCCTCCCAAAGATTGTATATAATTATGTGTGTCCCATGATCTGACATAAGATTAAACTATAAAGTACAAAAACACTAAGTTAGTAAAAAATAAAAAATAAAAAAAAAGCAGCAAGAACATGACAAAAACAAGAGATAGAAGTCGGGCTGCCACATGGATTAAGATTGAAAAAAAGAATCACGATTGGAAAAAGGAGCAGCAAGATGGTCTGCAGGAAGTAAACAATACTATGATAATTCTGAAAAGTAGACCACCAAAGAGTAGTAATGCATACCCAAGACAGACGACAAAAGAGGATGATGTACAAGAGCATATTATTTTTTGTTCTTTGTTGTACACTTCATCAACAGAAAATACCTGACGAAGAAGGTCTGCCTCACTGGAAAACGGAGACCAATGAACTATAGTCTCCACATTTCTATTCCAATCACCAGTAGAAGACCGTATTATCCTGCTCCATTCCCGCCCCTTTCTTTCATAGTCAAGCTTCATAATAATTCACAAAACAATAAAGATCAGAAGCACATGACTTAATTGAAGGCTTCTAATTATTCATCTACAAGAAAACTGTGATCCACACTCCATAGTTAACATATTAGACTATCAGAAACATAAATGGAGACAAGTGGGGAATTACAACAGTGACTAAGGTGTATTGTGAACACGCAATAAAGTTGGGCATTCCTCCTTTTGTCTAAATTTCAATCTTGAGCTGTATAAACTAATGTCAACAACTCCAATTGGAAACCATATGCAATACAGATAAGTTGGCTACACATGCAACACCGCAGAGCACACAACTGAAAAAAAAAATTACACAAGTAAACCAGCACCACAGTGAACCCAGAGTTCGTTCTCTAGATGAAAAAATGCCTGAAGATACCAAAATCTAATACCACAGTAAGAAAATGAGAGATTTTTCTTAAATGCAACTTTAAACACAATTAGGAACAGTGGAAAGAGAAAAGGATCCTATGAAACCAAAATGTGACTTAATAGGAAGAAAATGAGTAGTTTTTTTACCAGACTATATCACACTTAAACTCAAATAGTAAACCCAACTTGAACAATTTAACAACTACTACTGTAAGCAACTGATCAATTTTGAGAACACTTGAGAACTATGAAGAATAGAATACAATATTGTGAAGGAGAAGTCATTGGAAACTGTGGCACCAGGAGAGCCAACCACTTCTATGCATAAAGAAAGGACCAATCAAAAAGATCAACACAGCAAAGATACTGATCATCCTTAAAGAAATCCTAAGTTTGCAGATACATAAAGTGGATAAGATGGCAATGTTTAATTTATATATTAATTCTTTCAATGCATTAGAATGTTCAATTTTAGTACCATGGGCACCACAATATCTTCTTTCCCCGTGCTCCTCAAAAAAGTGTATGATAGCAATCCAATGCTCTGTGTAGGACTAAAACCAAACAGAAAAAACAGTCAAAATTCGCCATCTATAAGAAGAAAACACAACACAAATGATGTGATCATAAAAAAAATCACAGAGCTCAAACCTTTTGCCATTTTTTCCAGGACAACGTGAAAACACAATGACATCTGCTCCAAGTCTCATGGTACTTGTCTTAAATCCATTGCCATCTGAATAACAACAACATACACGGTTTAGAAAACAACAAAACAGAACAATAAATTGGATGCATCTTTTCCAAATAACTAGTTGGTTACATTGTCCAATAGAGTTAGCCACTTTGCTTTTTGCAGAATAACCCAATGACATGCATTGTCGCATTTTATCTGGATCCATTCCACCACCATTATCTGCAACAAAGTACAAAAGCACCCCAAAGATACCACATATTAAGAACATAATAGCATCATCAAGAAAAAATTCTCAGAAGAAAACATGGCATGAAACCTCAAAAAATATCTCACAAGAGATTATATTATGAAGATGAAAAAACCTTGGTATTTAAGAATAAACAGAATAAAACTGGTAACATTACACAAAATGACAAACAAAAGATCCCCAAGGCATCCTGTTTATGACTAGGAAAAATTAATTTCTCTGAGAACAAGCCCCTCCAATAAGAAATGAAGCATAGCTAATTGCATATACTTCAAAGTAACACCAATTATACCACCAGTGATCCATAAAATTCTAACATAACTCCAGTGATCCATAAAATTCTAACATAACTAGACCCAACAAGGATAAAACCAGCTAAGCAAAGATAAGCAAATACCTTCAATCAAAAGCATTTTGCTCCGATCCTTCTTACTTTCAACCATATCTATGTTAACAAACCTAGCCCCATTGCCAAACTAACACCAAAACAAATAAACCATCAAAAAAGGAAAAAAAAAAAAAATTTCCTACTTCCTAAAATTCACAACGGAAAAGTAACCAGTGAAAAAAACCACCTCATCCAATGCATTGTCCAAAAGTTCCGCAAATGCTGCAAAAAGGAGAAGAACAAACAACACCTTATGAATTCCGCAAACCAAAACAAAATGATCAAACCCACACATGTAACATAAACGTAAAAAAGAAAAAAAAAAAAAGGGAAATCAATTTTACCTCCAAGCGCCCACTTATGACTAGTTGCATTAGAATGCAAAAATTTTGGGTGAACCCTAACATGATCCAATCCACCTGTGCATCATAGAAAATTAACAATCATATGCATTTTCAATGTACATTGCAATTAACAATAAATATTCACTTATCAGCTTATCAATAATAAGATATCCAAATATAGCATGCAGGAAAAAAGAGAAAAGGAAAGCAAGAGATTACCAGAAGATAAATCCCAATTAGCATGAAGAGCATCTTCATAATCACCCGCTTTCCAAAATTGTTTATTACTTTGACCAGTCAAATTCACTCTGCTACTCTCCGCTGACTCCACCACCGCCAATTCCGTTTCAGAGGGCGGCTCCGACGCAGGCGGTGGCAGAACCGGAGCGAGAAACCCCAACGGCAACACAACGCCTAAATCATCCAAATTTCTCCTCCGCTTCTTCTTCTCAGAACCTCCATTACCACTACTAGAATCTCTATGTCTCTTAGAGACAGCGCCGTTTCCATCTAACTCGGTTTCGGACTCACTCCCGCTACCACTAATCCTTTCACTGCTGCTACTGAGTTCGATTACCGCGGGTGGAACGCCAGAAACGGTGGTGTTTTGTCGATTAGGTGACGGTTCAAGAATCTCTTGCTTTACATTACCATCCATGATGTTAAAACTTAAAAAGAGATAGAGAAAGAAAGAAAAGAGAAATTTAAAAAAATCTTTTTGCAAAGGCTTTTTGCTTTTTCCTTTTGGCTTCCACTTTAAATGAGATTTGGAGAAAAAGAAAGAACGTTTTGGTTTGTTGCTGTCGTGTTGTATTCTGTGGATTTGAGAGAGGACGGGAGAGGGTGAGTGACAGGAGCGAAGAGAAATCGCCAATCTGTTAGCTTTAAGAGTTTTTATTTCTTTGGAAAGCGGAGTGGTGATCTCTGTTTGTTTAAATGTTTTTACTTTTGAAGGCAGCGTGTTGTTACACTTTGTATTTTCCCAACCTCTCGTACGGTGCGCCGCTTTGTTTACTTCTCTCCTCTTTCGAATGCTTATAACTCTCTTGGAATATAATTTTTATATTTCTCTACTATATTAGATGTCGTGGTCAAATAAAAACCTTTTCTATCTACAGTTTTACAGTTTTTCATCTTGTCGGTGAATGATTAGGATCTATTTGAATTAATGATTATAAATAATTCTCTAGAATCTTCTTACTAAGATGTTTATAAAAAATTATCTAAATATATTTAAGTTATAACAATAAAAGATTTTCTAAAATTTTCTAAGACACGTTAAGATTTCTTTTAGACACCATAAAAGCTTTTTTATTGGCTCGTAATCTTTTAGAGACTTTTAGACTTATCTATAATTTCTAATTGACCTCTATAAAATCCCTCTTTCGTGTGAAGTGTAACATTCTCTTCTATTTAATTTGGCGACATCCTTAGCACATTTTCGTCATATTCTTCGACTTTCGAGTGCATCCTCGACACATTTTTGTTATATTCTTCGACCTTCAGTGCAAATTGCAACAAAGCTTCGCAAGTTCCCGACTAGCCTCATTTTTTTAATGATCCCTTCCAATTCACATAATAATCCTTTTCTTGGTGGCACTCAACGACTTTGGATTGTGTAGTCATCAAGTATGACATCAATTTATTTGTAATACGAGTCAACCACTATTGTAAGTGTCTTATAAGAAACTCCTTAGCTTAGATCCTCCTCATCGACATGATATGGCTTCAACATACTAATATGAAACACTAGATGGATTTTTAGCTTTGGTAGCAAATCTAGATGATAGGATGCCTCTCCTACCTTATGTATTATCTCAAATAATCATTCATATTAACGTATGAGGTCTTTGTGCACCTTGTAAAATATCTTATGTTGCTATGGTAGCAACTTCACCATCACTTTATCAACAGGTTGGAAGGTGATGTCTCTTTATTTTTTGTTAGCCCACTTCTTCATCTTCTTGGCAATCTTGTTTAAATACATTCACGTTAAATTTGCATGTTCTTGCCATCATTTGGCCAATGAATATGAACTCGAGCTACTTTTTTGGTACTTATCACCAAGCACCATCGCATGTGGAGTGAGAAGATGTTAGCCCATCATGATCTTGAATGGACTTTTACTAGTAAACTCGTTTTTTTGTAAGTTTTAGGAAAATTGGCCAACATCCAGCAACTTAGCCCAATTTTGTTGGTTAGCACTCATAAAATGCAACAAATATGTCTTTAGCAACGCATTCACCTACCTCGTCTACCCATCTATCTATAGGTGAAAGCTTATGGTGGAGGTGTGAAATAAACAAAAAATTTGTTCTCCTCCATCTAAAGTCCCAATATTAACCGTTGAATTAACTAATTATATATTAACAAGATGAATCAAATGTTACCTTTTATAGCATATAATCTAATTTACGGATTGAACATTCCAATTATCTAGTCTCTAGTTATGATTCACGCAGTTAAAACAACGAACACAATAAGCGACGGGAATCCTAGAGGCTAGAGTGCTAGCTTTAATTTTTTTTATGTATATTTTTCTTATATATATGTATGCGACTACATCTCCTTTTCGGTGAAGGAGTTGTAACTTATATCGAGTTTTGTTTGATCTTATTCTTATAAATCCTGAATTAGATTTAATGAACTTTTTACCTTAAGTTCTCAAAAATACCCCTTACACATTTTCACTTAAGCTTGTTGACCCAAACTTCCTTGGCTCAATAACTCAATAATTAATTTAGACCATCCAAATAAGTCGGGTTAGGTATTTTTGGGGAGGCTCATATTAGAAAATAATTTTCTAAGTTATCCTTGTAGTTTATTAAACCTAAATTAGAAAACTAATTTCTATTTTAGGAAATGGATTTTTAAAATAGAAAATTGATTTCTATCTTAAGAAATTGATTTCCAATTTAGGTAACTAACTTTCGAATTAGAAAAATGATTTCTAAATTAAGAAACTAATTTTTGTTTAGGAAATCGATTTTCATTTTAGGAAACTAATTTTTAAAATAGAAAAAATTTTCTAAATTATTCATGCCTCTTTTTTCATGTGACTCAATAGGTTCCTAAATATGTTGGTAATATATCGAGAAGTAAAAGACACTTCTTTTATCTTTCGATTCATAAATCAATATTGGCTTCTACCAAGGCATCATGACTACCAAATTATCTAGAAGGATTACTTAATCTACAATAACCTTTTACGAGTATAGTTTTCATACAATTTAGTCCTCATATCAATTTATCACAGTGTGATCTCAAATTTGGTTTGTTATCTATTCAATTATGATCACACACAAGTTTTCTTCGATCTTCGAATGTCTTAGCTCTCAAGTAAACCAATCATGCTCTATTGTTATACTTTCATCGTAACTATAAATTCTTGAGTAGACATTCATCAAAGTGCAATATGATAACTCATTTAGCATATAAGGAATAACATGTCCTATCTCATTTATCCATATATCTTTATTAGATTCCCGATACACCTAACGAATCACCCATATATAATTCTTTACTGATCCCATCGAAATGAATATCAACGTACATCAATCTTTTAATGAGATAATTATGATACTTCAAGTCAAAGGATTACTTGTACCTATCTTGTATGAGATTCTCATAGACTATACAAAATGGGTTCTTATGATGAGTTACGTCTAATATATAGGAGTCACGTTTTGTGATATGTTATTTAATATTATTCACTTATGTGTTTGCTTTTGGCAATACTATGCTAATAGGTGTGAGATCTCCTACTACTATCTTATAGCAAGAGCATAACACTCATAAGTCTTATCGTATATTATCAATGTCCAATCTTGACAATGCTATAATTTAGGACATTTAATGATATCATTTACATGTATTGATATTTGTCTCACAAGTGTGGATCAATTATGAATGTAATGCATATCATATAGGCTTCTATATAATTTTATAAAATTATAAATAACAAAATTTAAAGGAAAGACTTCTTTATTAATATTAAAAATGTAATGGTATAATATTTTAAACCATCTAAATAAGTTAGATCTTGAGCACCTACACTAACATATGGAGTAATGTAGCTTTTCGAATAATTCAATCCACAACTTGTTGGTGTAGATGCTTAAGATCTAACCTATTTAGATGATTTGAATATTGTACTATTGTATTTTTTATATTAATAAAGAAGCTTTTCTATTAATTCATGTTATTTATAACTTGATAGAATGAGATAGCAATCCATATGATATTGATTGCCTTGATGATTGATAAATAGATATGAGACAAACACCAATGCATAAAATGATATCATTAAATATCCTAAGTCATAGCATTATCAAGATTGGACATTAACAATATATGATAAGACTTATGTATGTTATGCTCTTACTATAAGATAATAGTAGCGAATCTCATATCTACCGATATGGTGATAACAAAGCAAACATATAGGTGAATAATGTTAGAGAATATATCACCTGGACGTGACTTGCCATGAGAACCCACTTGATTTAGTCTATAGGAATATCATACGAGATGGTTATAAGTAGTCCTTTCACTTAAAGTTATCATAGTTATCTTATTAGAGGATTAATGTACTTTGACATTCATTTCGATGGGCTTTGTAAAGAGTCTGTATATGGGAATTTGTTTGGTACATTAAGAATATAATAGAGATAAGCGGATAAGTGAGATAGAACATATCATTTCTTATATGTTAAATGAGTTATCACATTAAACTTTAATAAATGTCTACATAAGAATTTGTGGCTTTAGTGAAAGTATACCAATAGAGCATGCTTGGTTTACTTAAGAGCTAAAGACATTCGAGAGATCGAAAAAACTTATGTGATTATAACTGAATAGACATTAAACTTAGTTTGAGATCACATTATGATAAATTGACATAAGGATTGAATTGTATGAAAATTATACCGATGAAAGCTCATTGCGGATTAAGTAATCCTTCTAGATAATTAGGTAGTCATGAGGTCCTACTAGAGGTCAATTTTAATTTATATATCAAAAGACAAAAAAGTATCTTTTACTTCTTGATATATTACCAACATATCTAGAAAACTATTGAGTCATACGCATAAGTTTAACATTGATATGGATAAAGAGAAGCGAAGAATTATGAAAGAATGATGAGAATTGAAATGGTTGATTTCAATTCCTTAAGCACTAAAAGAATTTTGAAAAAAGTTTTCTATTTTATAAATTTTTTTCCTGATTTGGAAAAAATTTCTTGATTTAAAAATCCATTTTCTAAAATGAAAATCAATTTCCTAATTTGAAAATTAGTTTCCTAAAATAGAAATTAGTTTCTTAATTTAGGTTTCCTAAATTGATAGGGGTAACTTAAGAAATAGTTTCCTAATGTGGGTTTCCCTAAAATATGTAACTCATTTTATTTGTATAGTCGCTTTAATTACTAAGTCATTGGACCAAAGGTGCTTGGGCCAATAGGCTTAAATGAAAACTTGCAAGGAGCATTTTAAATGAAGGGGCATTTTTTAGAACTTTAGATAAAAGTTCATTAAACTTAATATAGGGTTTATAAAGATAAAAAGATATATCAAGCCATACAACTCCCTAACAATAGAAAGTGGCTGAATTTCCTAAAAAGAGATCGAGATATTGATGCAATCTTCCGTATAGAAA